ACGAGATCGGTCAAATCGACCAAACCCACGCAGAGACTCGATAGTGAAAACAACAGATAAGATATAAAAAATTTTACTTAAAAAACGTTTGATAATTATCTGGAGGTTATAAAGATTTCACATACGAGATTTGAAAATTTTCTAACACATAAAAGTATTTTTAATCTTAAAATTACTTTGCATGTTGGATAGGCAACATTAAAAAAAAAATGGGATGAGTAAAACATTACTTATAAAAACCTTAACACTTAATAAAAAAATATCTGATATTTTGCAGATGAAAACCTTTATGTGCTCTCGACTGTCGATGGAACCCTAGTTTTTTTTCCCCCCTTTATACTAATGGTACTACAGCACCAAATAACTTAATTATATAATGCACCAAAGAACACAAAATAATAACATTCAAAAGAGCAGAAAATGTCACATAACTGTCACAATTTTTCTGGTTTTATAGTTGTGCAACAAAAGCTGTTAAAAATTCAGATAAAGCTAGTCGATGTGTTTCCCGTGGGAATATAATTTGAACTGGAAGTGAAATAGACAATTCTCTATACAGAAAACAATGAAATATAATATGTCACTTAATAGATTAAAACAGTGGCTTTCTATTGGTTATAAATAATATATTATTAAGAGTCAGAGAGAACTACTGGCAATTTCTGAAAGAGGATGTAATAGGTGGGTGTAGCAAAAGTTGTCTGATTTTCTAGTTTGTGGCTCTGTAACCAAATGAGATTGAAGGCTGTACACATTATGCTTTGCCTGAGTGACAACAACATTATAATGAGTAATTTACATTATATTTCATACTTCTCAGAAGGGTGGTAAGTAAATTAGGGAAAAGGAGATTGAAGGCTGTACACATTATGCTTTGCCTGAGTGATGACAACATTATAATGAGTAATTTACATTATATTTCATACTTCTCAGAAGAGTGGTAAGTAAATTAGGGAAAAGGGGATATCTGGAGAGCAAATGTCACAATTGTCATAACTAGGGGAAGTTGAGAATTTTTTTTCTTGACTCATAAAATTAAGAACTACAACTTATATTAACATTTGGATTACTAGCTACGTTTTGATGCCAAGTTTATTCATATAACATGATAATAAAGTAATTTGATTAAATCTTTAACGTAACTTGCTAAAAACCTTGTGACATGAGCAGACAAAGATACCCATTAATGATGCAGTAACTTACCCAAGACCGTTTAATGAGCAGAAAAAGATGCCTGTTAATGATGATGTAGTAACTTACCCAAGACCGTTTAATGAGCAGAAAAAGATGCCTGTTAATGATGATGTAGTAACTTACCCAAGACCGTTTAATGAGCAGAAAAAGATGCCTGTTAATGATGATGTAGTAACTTACCCAAGACCGTTTAATGAGCAGAAAAAGATGCCTGTTAATGAATGTAGTAACTTACCCCAAACCATTTAATGAGCAGAAAAATGCCCATTAAAGATGCAGTAACTTACCCAAGACCATTTAATGAGCAGAAAAAGATTCCCATTAATGACAATGTAGTAACTTACCCAAGACCGTTTAACGAGCAGAAAAAGATGCCCATTAATGATATAGTAACTTACCCAAGACCATTTAATAAGCAGAAAAAGATTCCTGTTAATGATGTAGTAATTTACACAAGACCGTTTAATGAGCAGAAAAAGATTCCTGTTAATGATGTAGTAATTTACACAAGACCGTTTAATGAGCAGAAAAAGATTCCTGTTAATGATGTAGTAACTTACCCCAGACCGTTTAATGATGATGTAGTAACTTACCCAAGACCGTTTAATGAGCAGAAAAAGATGCCTGTTAATAATGTAGTAACTTACCCAAGACCACTTAATGAGCAGAAAAATATGCCTGTTAATAATGTAGTAACTTACCCAAGACCATTTAATGAGCAGAAAAAGATGCCTGTTAATAATGTAGTAACTTACCCAAGACCATTTAATGAGCAGAAAAAGATGCCTGTTAATAATGTAGTAACTTACCCAAGAGCTTTCAGTGAAGCTCAAGATCATTTCCAATATGTTTTACATAACTTTTTATCATCACTACTTACATAACTCCTCTCTATCAAGCAAACTTGGTCCTCCACCAAACAATCCCTTGAAGAAGCCTTGTTTAGGAGGCTCAGGCATGTCTTTCGTTAGAAATAAAGTGCCAAGCATATCCTGAAGAACTTCACTGAAACAAAACACGCACTTTCATCATTTAACTACAAAAGTTGCAGAAATTATTTTTCTGAATCTCTTTACAAGATTTATTATTTATTATTAAAGATTTATTAAAACAAACTAATTTTTTTTTTATAAAGGAAATGGTATATCAGAGTTACAAAACTTTCATGAATTAAGCTATTACTTTCTGATTAGCTCTACTGATTAGATGTTTCAATGCTTCCGCATGATTTTTAGTATTTAATCAGTTTTGTCCAAAATGAAACTTAAAAAAAAATTGAAATTTAAGAAAAATAAATAATTTGGGGACCACTACGTATGATTTTGTTTAAACAGCAAGCACGCTCAACATGGTTTTTTTGGTTCATTCATTTCCAACCTGCATTCCTGCCTTATTTGACAATATCACAGCACATTTTGCCTTTCATGTGACTGATTCTCCCATTGTATGCAAGTCTACAGATTTCGTATATTGGAAGTAAAAAGCTTTGTTTATGTTTAGATTGCTGCTATCCTCCTTCAGCCATTTCTTCTTCATAATAATTTATCAATGAAAGTACACTTTCCACTCGTGGCAATCGACTGTTGTGTCAAATAAATCAAACGAACAAGGAAAGTGATGCAACTGATAGCAAAGTTTGTTTGTTTGTTTTGAAATTCGCACAAAGCTACACGAGGGTTATCTGTGCTAGCCGTCCTTAATTTAGCAGTGCAAGACTAGAGGGAAGGCAGCTAGTCATCACCACCCACCGCCAACTCTTTGGCTACTCTTTTACCAATGAATAGTGGGATTAACCGTCACATTATAATGCCCCCACAGCTGAAAGGGCGAGCACGTTTGGTGTGATGGGGATTCGAACCCGTGACCTTCAAATTGCAAATTTGAGTGCCCTAACCACCTGGCCATGCTGGGCCTGATAGCAAAGTAGAAAATGATAATCGAATGGAAGGTATGCAGTGCTGCTTAAATCAACAGACAAAATAGTCCAATTTACCAAACACGTTTCACATGAAGTATTATCACACTTCCAAATGATGTGTGTATATAGTAAAAAAAATTAAAGCTTAACAGACCCTACATAAATTCAACTGTCACAGCTATTTTGAGTTACTTTGACAAAACAAGGTTTCTTAAAGGCCTTGAAATGGATCTATCGAAGGTCGAGAATTTTTAAGGAGTGTAAATACCCCCCTTACGAGCTACTTCGACTTGAACATTTTACTCCAGGAGTGACTTTTTACTGATAAAAAGTTCAAGATAATTTACTTGTATAAAACTTAGTAATGTTTAAAACATCTTAGTTTGTACAGGTTTCCTACACGAGACTACTCTTGAACTTACCAGAATGCTGCAGATATTGAAAACTTCTGAAATTCTGAGGCAGAACAAAGGTATAAGCCATGACCATTATTGCTAAAACAAAAAGTCTTGGCAATCCTAAGTAGAAGAAACAAATTTGTGAAGCTAAATTAAGAATATTTCAATGTTAATGATAATATCCAAGTTTACATCTTATCTTGAAACACACAGAAATAAACTTAATTATAAACAAATATTTCATTTCTAATATTTGGTACTTCAACTTGAGTGTCACCTTATACTCAAGTATAGACATGCATAACTTTAAACTACTAACCAGAAAATGAGACAGTTGGTCAGCAGCATCTACCGACACAAGGGCTTCAAACTCTTTACACGCAAGTGAAAGTGTAAACCTCGGACCCACTGATCCCCAGCCTAACGTGTTTACTACTAGGTCAAGTCTACTTTTCAGTTAAAGACTCAAAATAAGAATTTTTTTTCTTAATACATTTAATTAAGATGCCCTATTTAGTGTACAAAATAAAGTTGTGTCCATGGCAGGTGAATGAGGAAAGGGTTGAATCATCATGTAAACACCTAGAGCAAAATGTTACAATGTTTGAATTAAGCCTTACGCTAGCTCGTGTCTAATAATTTACATACTAAGCCTTCAAATGTTTAGGGCAGCAGTAAAAAAAATTAGCTACATTTGAAACTTTTTAAAAATAGCTTACATTCTACTGTAATTAGAGAAAAGTTTGTCCGTTAGTTTGCCCTCTAACTTCTTCTCGGCTTTAGCATTTGGACCTGTCAAAAATGGTTTAATCAACTAGGAAATTTGGGATGTGTTAAGAAGAATTATTTTTATTTTAAGATGCATAGATCTCCAGAGATCGCTAACTATAGATCACTTAGTGGGGGGTGGCCACTAGTAGTACTAATGGCACTCATTACTGGCATATTTACGACAAACACAGAAACACTACTTATATTCATAACTGGTAAGACATTAATTCTACAACTACATTTTTTCAAATCCAATTAATTATTTGAGGGATTTCTTTTACACACATTGTTTATACATACATTTAAGATAGACACACGTACATTAAACGAGATGTTTTTAAGTCACATGTTACTTATTGCTTTTTTGATAAACAATCAAGCCCAGTGAACATCGATAATTTTATTCTTATGTACATTCAATCTTTATATTGCCACTGGAATATTTCAAAAACAAACACATTTTAATATTCATAATTGTTGAAATCTGAATCAAAACTTGACTTCCAAGAGCAACAAAAACAAACACATTTTAATATTCATAATTGTTGAAATCTGAATCAAAACTCGACTTCCCAGAGTAACAAAAACAAACACATTTTAATATTCATAATTGTTAAAATCAGAATCAAAACTCGACTTCCCAGAGGAACAAAAACAAACATTAATATTCATAATTGTTGAAATCTGAATCAAAACTGGACTTCCCAGAGCAACAAAAACAAACACATTTTAATATTCATAATTGTTAAAATCAGAATCAAAACTTTACTTCCAAGAGCAACAAAAACAAACACATTTTAATATTCATAATTGTTAAAATCAGAATCAAAACTTGACTTCCCAGAAGAACAAAAACAAACACATTTTAATATTCATAATTGTTAAAATCAGAATCAAAACTTGACATCCCAGAAGAACAAAAACAAACACATTTTAATATTCATAATTGTTAAAATCAGAATCAAAACTCGACTTCCCAGAGTAACAGAGAATTTCAATCTTTAATGGATGGTATAATGATCAGTTTTTGAAATGTCCTTGTTGATTATCAAAACATATAACATTAAATACTGTGAAATGATACAACCAACTAGTTTTAAGAAACCATGCTTAATTATCAGTCTTGAAGACAAGACAGCTTTAAAAGTGATTTTTTTTTAATTCTACAGCCGTAAAAAAACTAGGTTTCCACTATGCGTGCTGTATGTATAAGATCCTACCTCATGTCCATCAAAGGCAGAAAGTCGACTTCATAGAGTAGCCTAAGACTAGGTAGGCTATAGACCACTATATTTCCATTACCAATGTAGCATGCTAGACAAGCGTTATCTAAAAGACGAGAAAAGACGTTTGTAATCGAGCAGGTCAGACTAACAGGTAAATTTTAGGAAGAGTTAAACACATGGTTCTTATGTAAACATGTGTGAAACAAGTTATTCCTTCTGCATGATTGGTGCACGATAAAAAGTTTAGATACAAAATAAAATAAAGTTGGCCATATACAACATTTTTTAAAGAGTAATAATGGCTGGAGACGGCTTAAATGGGTAATGAAGAAAAACTTTAATATAAGTTTAACATGACAGCAAATGTACAACGTTTCGACAAGGTTTTGTCATCATCATTTTTTTAAAGAGCATTACATTCTTGAGAAATCTTGACAAACAAGTCCCTGGTGGTTTTTAAAAAATTTCTGCTTGAAAACCCCTTTTTTTTTTTTTTTACATAATCCTACATATCAATATATAGTAAAAAAAAATTATTTCATACTGAACTTAACTGTTACCAGATAAACTATTTTAGTGTCCATAACATTATACAACTTACCAAACTACAAGTTTTGTGATACATCTATACAATCTGTTTAATTAAACCAAACACGCAGATGTGGCCAATAAAGCAGAAAAGGAGCAGATTAAGAAGAAAATAAAAACTTTAATAAGTCCATCACAATGATAATGTTGTTGTTTGTTATTAAGCACAAAGGGTTATCTGTGCTCTGCCCACCACGGGTATCAAAACCGGTTTCTAGCAGTACATGTCCACGGACATATTGCAATGAAAAATGTCAATAAAACAACACCCACGGTTACCTTGCACAGCTTAATGATTTATTTAATACACCTCAGAGTATACATTACACGTAGTTCCCAAAGATTTGGTTTTGTAAGAATAAATAGTGTGCTATTTATGTACAGAAGCACATTATGCAAATATAACAGTAAATTGACAAACGATTTATAAGCCTAATGAAGTGGTTTTGTTTTTTTAAGGAAGAAACATGTTTCGAGCAATGTTCTGTCAAAAACCGTGGTATCCTCGTGAAAAATAACACCACGTCATTACCCTTATAAATCGTTGTTTCTGAACTTACTATTAAAAATGTGCTAACTGAATATTTCCATCTATGTTTCTGACCCAAATCTATGAAAATAGACCCATTTTTAACTAACTACAGTAAATAAACACGAGTTTATTCACTGGCTATAGCAACACACGCTATAAAGGATAATTATCGTGACACTTCTAATGGCAACACTAAAAATATAAACATATTCAACTTTAGATTAGCTTAACTGTTACTTGGAGGTTACATCACATCAAAATAAATTTTTCTGGTGGCTTTTCTTGGAAAATATAATACTTTTATAAAGTAATCACTGTCCCATCCTTCATTTGATGGGTTTATTTACATTTTTCCCTGAGGTTTTACTACTTAAAAGTGTTAAACATTTGTTAATTGTTTGTTTGTTTTGAATTTCGCGCAAAGCTACACGAGAGCTATCTGCTCTAGCTGTCCTTAATTTGGTAATGAAAGACTAGTGGGAAGGCAGCTAGTCATCACCACCCACTCCCAACTCTCGGGCTACTCTTTTACCAATGAATAGTGGGATTGACTATCGTATTATGATGCCCCCACAGCTGAAAAGGCGAGTATGTTCAGTGGGATGGGGATTCAAACCCACAACCAGCAGATTGCGAGTGAAGCACCCTAACCACCTGGCTATGCCAAGACAATATTTATTGGAACAATACTATTGTATTTCAGCTTTATAAATCAACTCTTTTTAGACTATTTTATGCTCTTATCCCATAGTTTAGTTATTACAATGTTGCATTTAATTAATTTTCGTGAGTAGTCTTTTCTCATTACAATCTGTTCTTATAGCCTAAACCGCTCAAAAGTTACAATTTTTTCTATTTTAATTATGATTTATAAATCATTGTTTTAACAACTATTTCTTATTTAAATACTTTCTCAGTGGACCTGAACATATCTCGTTAACTAAAGTTTAAATTTAGAACAACATAAAATAGCTAGTTATGTAATTTTGTTTCCAACTTTGAAAATCTGTTAAAAAAAAAGGTTTCTATTTCAACAACTAAAGTCATGTTTTATCACAATTGTATTAATGCTGATAAAACATTACAAGATTAAAATCTGAATTCATTAATACAAAGGTTAGACATAATTCCGTAGAAAATGTTCTACATCTAACACTTCTCAAGCTAGTATTATCAGACAAAGAAAAGCACACGTGGTTAAATATAACGAGGTTTTAGTAATCCAACTTATAAACCTCTAAATATTAATGTAATAAAGATATGCTTGGAATTGGAAAATATTGGATTGTAACCAACAAGAAAACTTCCTAATGTAATCAACCTTTTCACAGTGATTTTTAAGTTAACTGTAGCTCTCGTTTATCGTTAACACAAAGTGTTTAGACAGATTTCAACAATGGATGAGAATAATAGTGACATCATACAAAAGGTATATAGCAAAACATGCAATCTGCCTTTGAGGTTTTTTAGAGAAATGCTTGCCTGATCAGGAACACTTTCGAGGACCAAACATTGGGTACTGTCCAGGAAAATTATTGGTGTCTGTTAACCCTAAATTGATAATCCCTTATTAAACTACACTAAACTTTAAGAAAATGTTAATTAGTATTTAATTGATATTCAAATTTAAATGGCAAACGAAAGATTCTCACCGAGTGATTTCATGGGTATAACCTCTGCACGAACAACAAACGATGTGTCGGTCAGATTTGCTTTGTACACGCACGTTTGCGATGGGAGAGCTACTACACGTGCCTGCTTCTCAGAAGCCATCACCACAAACTGGCTATCTTTGACTTCGGAAGACGACGAAGTTGGAGAGGCTCGGTTCTTTGAACTGTTATTCACAGGAGCTTCTAGACATAAAAATTCACATTGGCTTAAGTTAGTTCTTAGAAGATTTCAAGCAAACAAAACTCAAAAACGATCTCAGAGTAAAATAGAAAAATTACTCAAATACTATTTGCCCAAAATAAAAACAACGCCACTAAGATAAAAAGCCACCATTTACCCAGAAATCACAACACAAACATTTATAACAGTTGTATACTGGACACAAATACAAATCTAATTCACTGTAATTTATTCCTGCATTTAAGTAAAACTAAATTGAAATTAAAAAAAAAAAAAGAGTAATGTTTAATATGTTGTATAAATAGATACAGATAAATTAAATTTACTGTTCAGTGAATTTGGTAGGTAATTATAAAATAATAGCGTTATAGCCCGTCAAAAATTATGGGGGTAAGTACTACCACCCCCACCCCATAGTATACCCTAACCTCACAACTGAAATAAAGAAATTTTGCAAAATTAAACTTGACCAACAAAGAGGCAGAAAAGTGCAGTCGAGGCAGTCAAACGTCTGTAAGTTCATTTGTGAGCCAATCAAAATTAAGATCATTCATGAAATAAATTCTTGACATATTCATAGAGTAATTATTTGTAAAAATCAGTTTGATTAACAACTTCTAATATATAGAAAAGACCGTGTTTTGGTAACACTACGTTCCAACAATGGCTTTTATATCAGCAACAAAAGTATAAATTAATTTTGATGTTAGTCTATGTACTGAAAGTATAAAATGAAATGTATAATCAACAAAACTGAAAAAATATCAGCATATTTATTAAATTAGTGTGTCTGTTGATTAAAAGATTTTTTTTTTTTACTAAAAACATTGGTGATATAACAGAAAGTAGCTAAATTCAGAAACGATTTAAGTTTAAAATTGAATTGGTATTTTTACTTTCATCATAAATTTTATGCACTTGGCTCTAGACTAGGAAATCCCACACTACTTTAGGCTTATTATACCAACACTCATTACATTTACAAGGTTTCATGGCACCCCCTTGCACTATTCTATCTGGATAAATGCATTTTGGATTTTATAGATCCTCCTATTTTGAGAAATCAAGCATGATATGATGGCTTTCATATAGGTTAGATTCGGATGACTCAGATCTTTACTGAATATTATTTCTATGTTTTATCATGTTCAAACAATGTACGTAAATAAATTGGCAAAAATTATACTTTGCATTAGTAATATCAGTAATATAATGAGTAATTTACATTGATTTCTGTACTCCTCAGAGGGGCAGTAAATAAATTAAACAGGGAAGACCTAGGGAACAAATGTCACAATTCTCATACTAGGGGGAGATTGAGGATTCTTTGAAATATTTCCTTATAAAATTAAAAACTTAAAACTTGTACAGTATTAAAATTTGATGTGTTAACTATGTTTTGATGCCAAGTATATTCATACATAATGATAAAAAGTTGTTTAAATTTTGAAAATAACTCTAAAAGGTCATGACATGCACACTTTTAAGGGTTTTTCCCTCACTTTACATACATAATCATGTTTAGGCCACATGGAAAGAGAAAAATAGCATCATTCAATAAGATACAGCTGAGTGAATATAATTCATTACTGAATTCACAGAAACAGTGAACTCTCCTAGGAAATTTGATACTGTTAGTAAAATTTAAGTTATTTTAACAGCTATGCAACACCTTCACTTAATTCTCTATCACATTATGAATGATGTTTACAGTTACAACTACGTCTAC